TGTGCTAGGCATTTTCTCCTTGTTGGTACATAGTTCATGCTTTCTGACTAATGCATCATTTTCTGTACTCCCTGACCTCAGAGTCATCATCAAACTTCTTTCCTCTATGCACTGGGCACTGACCTCCTGCAAACAGCAACATCCAACTCCCTTATCCTTTGCTTCCACTTGAATTAGTTGATAAAATGCACTAACAGTTTATAAGAGGACAAGAGGTGGGAGAGATCATGGTACTCTTTACCCTGCTGTGCACCTTGCCACAGTCCTAGTAGCAGCCATGCTCCGCCTACCACTGCTGCCGCTGGGCAGCCTTGTCTCTCTCTCCCCAGTCAGCTTTTGTTGGCCTGCAGGGATGACACCCTTCTCTCCTCTTGCCCTTTCAGTCCAAAGATTAGAAACAGCTTCTTACCACTGCTAGTCTCTGGGTGCTTGATTTTTCCTTGTGATGCCTTTAAACCCTGCTCACAAGCGGATCACAAGGGTATAAAATTGCTGTCCTTGAACTTCCTCCAGTATCTCTCTGTTTGTGGTTTGCCGTCAGCACTGCCACTGCAGCACTGGGGAGACGCACTGTCATTTGTTTGTTGGCTCCCAGTTGGTGGGCACTCACACTGGTCAGATTGTTTTGCTCCCGTAGTCAGGGCTACTAAGGAGCACCCTGTATGCACCTTTTCCTGCGTGTTGAAGTATTGCTTGAGGGAAAAGCCATAGGAGTGCTGGGTCAGGGTGATGAGTGCTGTAAATTTCAATAGATAACTTCCAAATTGCTCCCCAAAGAATTTACCAACTTCTACTTTTACAATGTGTTGTTTATTTTTTAATAACAAAAAAATTATGGAGGTAATACTTGTGACTGCACGAAAGTGTATAAGGGAAGGTGAAGTTTTCCCCAAGATCACGATCACTTCGCATATTCCCATCCTGTTCCCCAGAGCAACCTGCTGAGGTTAGCTATGTAGCCTCTCAGGCCTGCCTCGCCCTTTTTTATACTTATATGCTTATCATAAGATGAATTGATATATATGTATATCAAGTATTCTGGCATATATTTGTGTGTATCTATATGCGAGAGCTAATTTCTAGGCTCTTCCATTGTCTGTGCCTGTCTCAGTACACACTATCTTAATAGTTACAGCTTTTAGTTGGTTTTGAATTTGAGAAGACAAATTTTCTTGTAAGATATTGTGAAATACGTATTTGATCTTTATCCTCTTTCCTAGCATAGAACTCCTAAGACTTTTGGGATCTCCAGAGTGATCTCTTTCTGGATGCTAGAGAGTTGACTGGGTCTGGCAGCCCCAAGGGTTAGGGTTAGGGCAGGATGGGGTCAGGGCAAGGTAAGGATTTGAGTACGTTAGGGGCTGATCTGAAAGACTTAGGTAGCAGTCATTGCTGGAAATTTCCCCATTGCCCAGTCTTCAGCAAAGGAAGGTAGATTAAGTCAGTCATTCATGACCGCTGATGTAATCAGTAATGAAACCTTTGTGAATAAAGAAGGACAGAGTTCACAGAACTTCCAGATGGCAGAACTCGCGAAGATTCCTCGGTTGGCATCCCCAAAGAAGAAATGGAAGCTCTGGGTCCTTTGTCCCAGCCCTTACCCTATATATCTCTTAATGTGTGTATTTCGTGATACCTTTTATAATAAGCTAGTAAATATGAATAAATGTGTCCCTGAGTTCTGTGATTTGCTCTGGCAAATTGGTTAAACCTAGAAGGAGTTGTGATATTATTGATTTTTTTTAAGTGGGTCAGAACTATAGATTAGTGACCTGGGACTTGTGACTGGCATCTGAAGTGGTTGGAGAGTCTTTTGGAACTGAGCTTTCAATTTGTGGGATCTCATGTTTTATGATTTGTATCTAGGTGTCCCCGCAAAGCCTCCTGTAGGTCATAGGTGGGGCTTTTCAGAGGTGGCTAATGCAGAGTGTGTGATTGATTCATAATTGCTAGGATTGAGGGTGCTACGTTTAAGGGTGGATGATTACTAAATCAGCCCACTGGTTGATTTGGCACTGCCCAAGTCCTGGTAGCTTGGGCACAGTATAAGGAACAGAAAGAGACTTGTCTTGTCCCTTGCTTGTGCCCACAATGAACTGTTTCTTCTCTGCCACCCTGCCTTGGAGCCAGTCAACTATGCGCTGAAATCTCCACAAACTGACCTAAACAAACCTTTCTCCCTTTAACTTTGGGTGTTAGGTACTTTGTCTTAGCAATGAGAAAAGTAACTAAGACAGGAAACTCCAGGTGGATGATTTCAGAAGAGAACTGGGTTAGAGGACACCCAACTGGTATCTGTGACTGGGTCACTGCTTGCTTGATGGGTGGGGACAAACCCACATACACAGGGCCTGCTGTCAAAATGTGTTGTTACCTGTGTACCTGCATCTACCTGTAAGCCCAGCACTTCGCAGTCTGAGGCAGGAGGGTCTGGAGTCTGGGGCCAGCCTGGTCAATGTAAAAGAAAAAAATTGTTGAGGCCGGAAATTTAGCTCAGTGGTGCAGCACCTGCTTGGCAAACCTGAAGTCCTGAGTTCAATTACCAGTACCAAAAAAGAAAAAAAAGGTATTGTGAACATGTAGAGGAAACTGAATTTTGCCTCCCCCGACTACCACCACACTTTTTCTACTTGTTTCCAGATTATTTCATTATTTTTCAATGAAAAAAATTTCTTGGCCTAGGTATGAACTCGTCAGATAATCTGTTTTTTGTTTTTGATACCAGGGTTTGAACTCACAACTTTGCGCTTGCCAGGGAGACCACTGAGCTAAATCCTCAGCCCCTCTTCAGATAATCTTCAGACCAAGTACTATATAAAACAAATCATGGATTTGTGTGTATGTGTGGTGTGTGTGTGTGTGTGTGGTGTGTCTTTTTTTTTTTTTAACTTTTAACTTGTAATCAGTACCAGGGATTGAACTCAGGACCGCCTGCTTGCAAGGCAGGTGCTTATGCCGCTGAGCTAAATCCCCAGCCCCTGTGGTGTGTCTTTTTAAGATAGTGTTTCACTATGCAGTTCAGGCTGGCCTTGAACTAGCAAAGATCCTTTTGCCTCAGCCTCTTGAGTGCTAGGATTACAGGTGTGCACCACCTTGTCCATCCTCAAATCATGGATTTTGACAAGAACTAATTTATCGGGAACTAACATTTTAGGAGGTCAGACACATTTCCAGTATTGAATATTTTTAGTAACCTGTTATGTTTGTTTACTCAGATTTGTCTTTGGCGAAAGCCTTACTCATTTCTTTCCAAGTTTTAAGTATTTTATAGATTTTATTATCATCCAAATGCAATATTTTCACCTTATATTTTCTATTTGGATGTGGAGAAGGCCTACTTTATTAAATTTCCTATCAATTCTAAGCTGACCATAGTGGTCCACTCCTTTATTTCCAGCTGCTTGGGAGGCTGAGCCAGGAGGATCATTTGGGCCCAGGAATTTTAGATCAACCTGGGCAACATAGTAAGGTCTTTTCATAAAAACAACAAAATTCCAAGGTTAGAAATGGAAGCATCCAGTCCTCTCAATTCCTGTTAGGTCCAATGGTTTTTCAGGGGATCCTCTTGATTTTTCTAGATGGACAATAACTTTTCACCTCATTATTATTATTTTTCTTGAGTTTCTTTGGGCCAGGACATCTGGTTTAGCTGGGGGGTGGAGGTGGTAATCTGATTATCGGAGGTCTCCTTGGCTCAAGGTTCACTTAAGGTAGGTTTCAGAGTGTGCACAACAAGATGTCCCACATCATGGAGTGGGAGTGGAGGATGGATTCCAGAGAGCCTCAGGGAGAGAAACAAGGCAGCCTTCAGTGAGGCTGAGAATGACCTGTGCGTAGCACAGGTGAGGTTAGGTGACAAATCTATGGCAAGTGTGCTGCGGTGGCCGTTTGTGTCATTGAAAGCTCTAAAAGTTTGCCATTACTGGGCAAGGAGAAGTAGGGGATGAGTTAAAGAGTAAATCAGGGTTCAGTCAGGTGCTGCCAGGCTTTGGGGCAATTACTTTATTCAGAGGAATGGAGAATTGAATGAGAAGTGTGTTAGGCAAAATGGCCCCCTAAAGATGTCCAGGCATCCACCCCTGGACCATGTAACTATGTTGCCTCACATACAAAAAGGGACTTTTCAGATGTAATGGAGGCTGTGACCCTTTATAGGCAGATTATTCTGGATTATTCAGATGGATCCATGCAGTCACTTGAGCCCTAAAAAACAAAGAACGGATGTCTGAAAGCAAAAGCAGGATGCTTATAAAAGGGTAAATTGGAGAGATTCAAAGACTGAGAGACTCAGTATGCCATGGGTGAGGGGGAGCTGTGTGGAAAGTCAGAGAGGGTTATGGGCCCCTGCCTGATGAACCAGCATTGTTACGGGAGCCTCTGAGCTAAGTCAGTAGCCAGAATGAGCATAGAGTGGATTCTTCTCCAAAGCCTTGAGAAAGATGCCCAGCCCCACCGTCCCTTAGCTTTGGATTTGTAAGACTCTAAGCAAAAGGACCTTGCTAAGCCATACTACACCCAGACACTGGGCTTTGGAACCCTAACATAAGAAATCTGTGTTGGTTAAACTATTAGGTATTCAGTACCTTGTTTCAGCAGTAGTGGAAAAGTTATACAAGGAACTTTGAGCAGGGGAATAACTTTATGGGATTTTGTGTTATTAAGGAGATAACTGTGTGTGCTGTGCACAAAATGGATCTGGACAGTGTAAATTTGGAGGCAAGGAAACTGGTTTTCTGGGAGTACAGTGATGGTGTGGACTGGCATAGTGATGGTGGGAAGGGGTTGGAATTTGAGGTTTATTTGGGGGGCCACAGTTGCCTGCTTGACCAATGGCTGGATGTTTGGGATGAAGGAGGCTGCCTGTGTGACTGCCCGGATGACTGGCTTGGCTGCTGGTTGATGCTGAGGCCTTGATGAAGATGAGTGGCTTGGAAGACGCCATGGCATGACCTCCATGCCTTGATTACTTTAACTTCTAAGATCTATTTTTTCCCTTTTAGATCATGTAGACAATTGTAAATCATGTGAAGATGGGACTCCTGGTATTTGTGCGCAATCTGCTGCTAGCCCTCTGCCTCTTTCTGGTACTGGGATTTTTGTATTATTCTGCGTGGAAGCTGCACTTACTCCAATGGGAAGACTCCAGTAAGTATAGTCACAGGAACAGCCTGTTGCAGGTCTGTTATGCAAGTTTGTCATGCAGCTGAATGCTGTCATAGTTTTCAGAGATGGGCGGTGAGTATAATCTGAACATTTCTGGGACTTTTGATTAGAGATTGCCTAACCTTTTAGTCGCTGCAGGCTGAAAGCACCTTTTTTTTTTTTTTTTTTCTTCCTTCCTTTTTTTAACTGCATGCATGGCAAATCTTAATTCCTTTTTTAAGCCCAGTGAGATTGTGCTGTTATTCAGTTAAAAACCTGCACTACACCCATAACTCTAGTTCTTGAGGTTTTTGTTCTTTTTAATTTCCGTATTGTAATACACTCTAATTTTGCATTTATTGCCTTAGGGTTTGATGTTGAAGTTTTTTTTTTTTTTTTCTTCTGCTCTCAAAACATGTATCTTTACTTTTGAATTTTCTGTTTTCATTTCAATATTGTCTTTTGTTTTCTTTAATGAAACTTTGTCTTAATATTTGGTGTTGAATCTACATCTAACTAAAATTTTGGCTTCTTCTTTTTTTTTTGGTACCAGATATTGAATTTATAATTTCACGCTTGCCAGGCAGGTGCTTGTGCCACTGAGCTAAATCCCCAGCCAAATTTTGGCTTCTTTTTTCCTACTCAGTGACTTCCGATCCTTTTTCTTCCATCTGTGTGTTTGATTTCGTGTGTTACACAATGTACACTGGCACTAGCCTGCCGCTATGCTGAGGCCATAACTTAGGCCCTAACTAGAGAATTAGTCCTGTGAGATAGTTCATTTATTTCTTATGGCCCAAACTACTAAGCAACTTCAAGCCAAGTTTTAAAATAGTGTCTTTTTTTTTTTTACAATGTCTTATCTTTTATTGTTTTACATAGAATTTTAAGTGCTTCTTTAATGTTTAGCTTATAATTATCACTAATTACTTTATGTTTCAAGAATGTATTCAAATTTCTCTGTACTTTTGTTTGTTTGTTTGAGACAAGGACTCATCGTATAATCCAGGCTGGCTTTGATCTTGCTGTGTAAACTAAAGAGGTCTTGAACACCTGCTTCTCCTGTCTTAGCCTCCCAAGTGCTGGGAATACAGGCATGTGCCTCCACACCTGGCTTCACTTGTTTTTAAAGTCAAGGAAACTACCCAAGATAAGCAGCCATTTGAGCCATGCTGTGTATAATGGTGTTTTCTGTATTCAGAATGGTGATTCCTCTGTGTAGAAAATGTGTGCAAGGAACAAAGGTCTCCTTTCTCATAGAAAATATAACAAAGGTTTAGATAACATTTTCCTAGGCAGGGAAAGAAATTCACATTGTGGAAGATGATTGCGGTGGCAGGTATTAGGCAGACAATTCACAAGTTTTATCTTATCTGATTTAATTCTTGCTATAATTCTGTGAAGATGTGATTATATTCCCATTTTCTAGTTGAGCAAACTGTAGCGCATAGTTTAATCTATCAAGGTTATACAGATAATTATTTTTAAAGCTAATGGGAATGGAGTTGAAAACTGAATTTCTAGCTTTAAAACCCACACTCATTTTTTTTGAAGAGTATGATAAATGATGAAGAGAGGATTTGGTTTTCTGTTCCACCTGATAAAAAGAGAAGAAAGGAGCTCAGAGAAGGAGTGGTAGGAAGTGTCAGAAGGAGGGTGGAGAAAGGAAAAGGAGGAACGTAAGAGGAAGGGAAGAGAGGAAGAAAGTCGTCCACAAGAGGACTTGAGAGGTTATTTTGGAGGTGAGGAGGTGGTACTGAGAAGTGCTGTAGGTAAGCTTCAGTAGTTTATTACTAGTTCCTTGCTGTCTTTAGTAGTGTTAGCTAACTATCCAATATTCACAGCATTTCTGTTATTCTGTCTGTTAAGCCTCTTAGATATTTGATTTTGAGTAGATTATTATCTTTTTTAGGGGTGGTACTGGGAATCAAACTTAGGATCTCAAGCTTGCCAGGCGGGCACTGTGCCACTGAGCCATATCCCTGGCCCCTAGTAGATTTTCTATAGCAGTATTTCTGTGCTTCAGTATCAGGACAGAATAAGAGGAGCAATGCTGGGTGGCTTAGTGTCAGAGAGGGTCAAACAAGATCAAGAGGAAGGAGATTCTGGACCCAGATGATTGCTATGTTGTGAATTTTAAGTTATGGTTTAGTAATATTGAAGATGTGATGCTGTCCTTTTTTTTTCTGAGGACCTTAGAAGACACTTTGAAGTTTGAATATAAATGTTCTTAACATTATGAGGTACTTTTTCTTTTTTATAATAATAAAATTTCCTATTGAATTTCTTCTATGATGAGAAAGGAAACTAGAGTTTTATTTACTACATTATTTATCCAGTACTCATTCCTTTGATAGTCCATGTACTGTCCCAGGTAAACTGGATATAGATGAACATACCCACTGTGACTGAAGTATATGGTGAATATTTAAAGTTTGTTTTGTTTTGTTTTTTGGGGACAGTCTCACTATGTAGTTGATGCTGGTCTTGAACTCATGGTGATCCTCTTGTCTCAGCTGCCTGAGTGCTGGGATTATACTTGTGTGCTACCTCATCTGGCTTTAAATTGTTAAAGTTTATTACAGTAAAAGACGCATTGCCCAGGTGTGGTGATGCACACCTGTAATCTGTAATCCCAGCACTCGGGAGGCTGAGGCAGGAAGATTGTTGCAAGTTCGAGACCAACCTGGGCTACATAGTGAGCTCAAAGCCCAGCCTGAATTGCGTGGTAAGACCCTGTCTCAAAAAGACAGACAAAGAAAGAAACAAACAAACAAAGACACATTCTCTTCAAAATATCTGTTCTAAGTTTTCAACACACTTACCCCATGGTCTTTGCTACTTTCCAAAGCAGTTCTGAGGACCTGTGGGTCCTTATCCACCTTAGTCACCAAATCTGACACCTTGCAATTCCTGACTTATCTTCAAAATCATCATAGCCTTGAAAGGTGAATGATTTGAATTGATTTAATCGATTAAGTCAAATTTAAGGGTTTGGTGTTCTTAAGGACACTGGGCAAAATTATACTAGGAGAAAAAAAATTTCAATATTTAAAATTCACAGGGGTTGGTATATAATATACAAGGTACTTCTGCAGTCAAGAAGCAAAGGGCAACAATCTCAGTAAAAAGTAGAAAAAAATTTGATGGGTAATTTATAGAATTGGAAAATTCAGACTAAGCATATGAAGATACAATCAAACTCGTGGGCAAGGGGGGATCGGAGAACATGGCGGACAGACAGCAGCAGCTACTGAAGGCTCTCTGAAACGCTCGGCTCAGAGGCCAGGAATGATGCGGACTAAGGAGATACGAACCAGTAGAGATGTACTCTGCTGACTCAGGAACGAACTGGGCTGAGAGAATCCAACTTAGAATGCGGTCCTGGCGCTAAAATAGGAACAGAGAAGTCTCGGTGTGGAGGCTCGACCGCGCGCCATTGGAAACCGCGATTTGGGTTTCCCGCCGCCCGGCGGCTGGCTGCCTCCACAGCGGCTCGGCAAGGAGAGACGCGCCGAGCTCTGGGAACGGGAGTCTGCGAACGGAGTCGGAAACAGGACGGACAAGGAGGAAAACTGACTGGTGGTGAGGTGAGCGAGAAACTGACTCCCTACCACAGTTTGACTCCAGCGGAGGTTTTTCTGGGCTCGGGCAGTCCTGTAAGAGCAGGGCGCGGTGGCAACCCCAGCCGCACATTCCCCTCTCGGACGGGATTGGTGAAAGGTGCCTGGCCTGAGTGACGCTGCTGGCGGACTCCCTAGGCTGGCCTAACCCAGATCCCAGAGCCTGTCGGTGGCCCGGAGGAGCGACCGACTCCCGCGTAGGCTGCCTCCTCCGCAACTCCCTGGGGCGCAGCGGTGGGCGGGAACAACTAGCCAGCGCAATTTGATCAGGCTGTGGCTGACAGGCAGGGAAGCCGGGCCTCCTATGTAAGATTGCATTTTATAAGGAACAGAAAATATGGGGAAGGGAAGCAACAAAAAAGGCTCCTCGGCCCCCAATCCTGAGAATCAGGCAATAGTGGACACCGCACCAATATACATTAAGCACCATATAGAGAGCCTCATAGACCAATTCAGGAATGAAGTTATCAATGACCTGAAGCTAGAAGTATGCAGAATAGTTAGAGAAATGCTAAGCACCACCCAGGAAAAAGCAGATGGTGGAATGGAAGAACAGAAAAAGAGGGGAGAATTGCTTGATGGAGAAAACAGAGAAAGCATTGAGTATGTGAAGCAGGTTCAAAGGGACTATCAAGAAATTAAGAAGTCTATCCAAGACTGGCATAACAGCTTGAAAGAAACTAAGGACAGACTATCTGAATTGGAGGGCAGACTTGAAACATGGGAGAATGAAATGAAAAACTTCTTAAAAATAACAAAGAAACACACAGCAATAATACAAAGACAAGAAGATGATAAGAGGAGCCATAACTTAAGGATTAAGAACATAAAAGAAGAAGTAGGGACACAAACAAGTGAACTACAAAAGCTACTCACAGAAATAATCCAGGAGAATTTTCCTAATTTAGCAAAAGGTAAAGATACTCAGATGTATGAGGCATACAGGACCCCAGCTACCTACAACCCTAACAGAGAAACACCCAGGCATATAATAATAAAAATTCCAGAAATTCAATAAAAGAACAGAATATTAAAAGCTGTAAGAGACAAGAAACAGATCACTTACAAGGGAATACCCATCAGAATTACAGCAGATTTCTCTTCACAAACCATCAAATCACGAAGAGCATGGGGAGAAATAATTCAAGCTTTGAAAGATAATAATCTCCAGCCAAGATTGATATATCCTGCACAACTGTCCCTGGAAATTGATGGAAAAACGAGGTGCTTCCAGGATAAAGAGGAACTGGGGGAATTTGCAACCACCAATTCAACCCTACAGAAAGTATTGCAGGATATTCTAAAAAAAGAAAAATACAAAGAACCTAGAAATAGTGGCGGGGAGGCCACAACAAATGGAGCAGAGAACAAAATGAAGAA